CGTGTCAAAAGTGCGAACAGCGTCGCGTTTCCAAAGACGTAACACCGGCCGAGTTGGAGGATAGCATTTTTGACCGCTGATCCCGGCCACGTGCGCCGCGGGGAGGGGGTGTTTGGCAATCTCCAATCGCACGTACGAGTATTCGTATAAAAACGTGCCAAACGCACACTGTGCGACTTCGATATGTCTTCTAACCCCTCTCTTTCTCTCTCGTCTCTCCTCTCTCCGCTCTTCTCTCTCTCTCTCGCTTTCTCCCCACTCCCACCGGTCTCTCTCTCTCTTCTCTCTCTCTCTCTCCTCTCGTTCATTGCCGCTCTCGCGCTGCGACGCTGGAGTGTCAAGGTCCGCCCTCGTTGGTAAGCAGCGCGCTGCGCAAAAAAACTCGATATCTCTCTGGCTCGCTCTCTCTCCCACTTCCCCTGGTCGCTAGTGTAAAAACTCGCACCACTGCTGAAAAACTCCAGCGACTGCCGAGTCAGGCCGTCAGCGGGTTGGACGCGCGCGCGGTGTTCGTAAAAAAACATGTGTGATTGACATCCACGCTGTTGTTCTAGGCAACGGACGACGCTGACTCGCGCCTAGCGGCATCATGAGCTGAGCATCGTGGTGGGTGAATTGACAGCATTATTTAGGCGTTGAATGTTAATTGTATATATATTAATATTGCATATTATAAACAGTGAATCATATCCTGACATATATATTTATCATTATATAATTGATGCAATAATAGTCTGGTGAACAATCTTGTACGGTGATGCTAATTAAACTTTTATAGTCACGTTGCCTTTAGTATAGTTACCTATTACACAAGTACAGTGCTTAAGTTTAAAATTCACCCAATACTTGTTAGAGTGAGTTTGTTATTTGTTTTAAATTGAATCTGCGATTATGTTTAGGTTAGGATCTTTTGTAAGCTACTACGACACGATAATTAATCATTAACTAATAATTAACTGCAATTAAATATTTTGGTGGTGAAATTCTTATATAAATACATGTCAAAGATAAGAGGCAAACGTTAACGTAATCATCTTAAAAACGTTTGCCACTCACTTTATTTATTGCGCGTCCATCGGGTTCAAATCACGTTGATCAGAATTGAAAGAAATTCACGGACGCTGGCATAGATTAAACAACGCACTGCCCGTGTTTAACGCAACTTGTTGTTACGTCCCTTCGGTGCACATATCGTTGTTAATTTTTGCACCACCATGTATTATCTTTGCTGTTTCTCTCATGAGGAGCAGCACCGCCCTGTGTTGCCTTCTCCATTTCTTCATTGAATAGCACCGTGCTGGTTTACTTCTCTGCCTGTTAAGTACTTCCCTGGTTTACCTTCTCTATTTCCCCATTGAACACCACATCCCTGGTTTACCTCCTCTATTTCTCCGTTGAACACCGCTCTACTGAATAACATCATCGACGAAGACGTTGCGCGTCTTGTTTCAGTGCGTAACGGCGCGCCGGGGTTCGTGAACCTATGCGACGCGCTCAACGCATGGCAGCTGGTGAAGGAGCTGAAATGAGCGACGGGGCTTCCAGCCGCAGCTTCCTTCAAGCACGTCAGCCCCGCAGGTGAGCGATAATTATCGTCCGTCCGTCCGCGGCGGCGGCACTGACCAATCCGTCGCCGCGGCGACGTCTCGCATCCGCCGATATACGTATTGTATATAAGGATATATATATATATTTACCTCCGCCACGGAGTGGAGCGGAGGTAATGTAATCGGTCTCGTGTGTGTGTGTGTGTGTGTGTGTGTGTGTGTGTGTTGCAGCGCAGCGTCAACAAGCTCGCGCAAACGCGCCCGGTGCGTGGAGGCAATCAGCTTCCGGGAACTTTGGCAACAGCGAAACCCCGCCCTTTTTTGGTCCATATTTAGATGCAGATATCTGAGACAAGGGGCTGAAAACACTCGCGAACTGGGGCGCAAATCCAACGGCGACATTTCGGGATGGACGGCTTGAGGCCATCTCAACGGTCCCTAAAACTTTTTTTTGGATGGCGCGCCTGCATGCATAAGCACGTAGTGGCTCCTACAAGAAAAATTTCCAGAAATGCTCTCAATCAGCGACTGACGGCGCTCGCTCCATTGGCTCGCTAACGGCGATGACGTAGGCACTACTGCCAGTATAGAGTTATGTCTATGACAGAGCTTATTACGAGTGTCAGTACGGCGCTCGCACGTGGGTGGTGGCGGCTCTAGATGCTATCTTCAACGCGGCTCAGCGCTCCGCGTGGGTGCCTGACTGCGTAGCGTTCGAGGTTTTACGCAACCTATGACTTCCGCCTGGCGCGTGGCGACGATACGTCAGTGCGAGCACCTGCGCTGCGTGGCGCGAATACGCGAGCACGGGGTGGCGTGGCCGTGCCAGTATTTTACACGTAGCGTAGTAGAATACTTCGCAAGCAGGCAACAGCAACAAAAACTCGCCCCTGCCGGCAGCGCGTCGCAGGGCGTAATGCTATCCCCGGGCGTGAGGGAGGTGACCGCAACGTGGCAGCACTAGTGTTAGGATATGTGTAGGATTAGGGTTAGGGTCAGGGTTAGGGTTAAGGTTAGGGTTGGGTTAAGGGTTTAGGGTTTAGGAATTAGGGTTAGGTGTTAGGGTTAGGGTAGGGTTAGTCATTAGGGTTAGGGTTAGGTTAGGTTTTTTGCATACATGATATCTGTCTCAGCACCATAGATAATTTTTGGTGGATCCAATGGCTATGATATAGCGCGGCGACAGCATATATATTTAGTGTGAGGGTAGTGTTTTACGTACGTACAACATTTTTCAACCGCAGTTAATGATTTAATGGAGCCAGTGGCTGTTGTAGAACCAGCCGTACGTTGTGCTTGCCAAGCGTGACGATCACACTTCGTACTCTCGTAATTACTAGGCCCAACGAGGCTGTGGCACTCATTGTCCTAGACATTGTCTTCTAACTCTTCTCTCTCTACTCTCCTCTCGTCTCTCTCTCCCTCGCTCTTCTCTCTCCTCTCTGCGTCTCTCTTTCTCCAACTCTCGCACGGTCTCATCTCTCTTTCTCTCGCTCGCTGCGTGTCAAAAAGTGGCGACCGCGTGGTTTCGCAAAAAGACGTAACACCGAGGCCGAGGTTGGAGATAGCATTTTGACGTGCCAGGTCCTACAGTGCGCGCGGGGGAGGGCGGGTGTGGCAATCTCCAATCGCCGGTACGCGCTAGATTCGTTAAAAACGTGGCCAAACGACACTGTGGGCGACTGATTGTCTTCTAACCCTCTCTCTCTCTCTCTCTCCTCATCTCTCGCTCTCATCTCTCATCTCGCTTTTCCCACTCCCGCACGGTCTCTCTCTCTATCTCTCCTCTCTCTCTCCTCTCTCACTCTCTCTCTTGGCTCCGCTCATCAGCGCTGGCGTGTCAAAGGATCCGCCCTCGTGTAAGCAGCGCGCTGCGCAAAAAAACTCCTATCGTCTCGCTCGCTCTCGGTCTCCCCAGCTCACGGTCCCGCTAAGTGTAAAAACTCGGCACCACATGCTGAAAAGAGCTCCGCGAGCTGGCGAGTCCAGGCCGTCAGCCCGGGTGGACGCGCGCGGCGGTGTTCGTAAAAAACATGTGTGATTGACCATCACGCTGTTCGCAAACGGACGACGTGGATCGCCTAGCGCCAAAATGAGCGAGCATGTGTGGGTGATTGACAGCATTCTTGCTTTTCTTGTAAAACGTGTTACCCTTGAGGCGCGCCACCGCCAACAAAATGTATAGGGGGCCGTTTGAGATGGCTCTAGCCGTCGATCGCGAAATTTTGTTGATTGGCGCAAGTTTTCGCGGAGTTCGTTTTAGAGCGATTCAGGTTAATCTGTCTAAGAGGACATAAGGGGGGGGTATATGAGTGATATTGGTATAGGCCTGGCTTGAATATTTGAATATGAGAAACTTTGGTAGTAAAAGATTTCGATATTCATTTAAGGATTGATATTTTATGAAACGCTCCAAGTCCTGTGATGATGCGAGCAGCGGAGGTACGCACCGCACGCGGCGCATGTCTGCTCAGCCTACGCCATACTCGCTTACACGACCTCTACATACACCGCGGTAAGTGTCGCCTCGTGTTCGTCGCCTCGTGTTCGTCGGCTCCTCATTCCCGATGCCAGTCTGTCACCCACGTTTACGCGCACTGGGTGAATGTGCGCCGTCGTCGTTCACACAAACGGTTCGTCGCTCCTTACCCGCCGACCCGGTAATATCAAACTCCTAATTCATCGTCACTGGGTGAATATCGCGCGTCGTTCGTTCACCCAACGGTTCCGTCGCTCCTTGCATTCCACGAGTCTTTAATTTCAATTCCTCTGTTCTCTATGGGTGAGTGAGTGTCAGGTCATGTTAGTTTATATCGTTCACGTCGTTCTCGCCGTCGCTCTTGCATATCCCGACCTACACTGCCTCTCCCTGAGATCTATCTGTTTACATGTTCACCTAATGTTACTCATCTGTCGTTCCCCATAATGAGCCGCGTGAGGAGAGTGATGGTTCCAACAAAATCAAGATTTTGAGGGATAAGGATGATACTTGAAAAAAAATCAGCATAATTTCGGCATAAGAAGTATAGCTGCCTTAGTGAATTACGTGCATGACTTATTAGATTGGGGAGATAGAAAATTATTATGACATTAAAATACTTTCATCAATAGGAAAGAGACAAAATTTCTGCGCCAAAGCATGTGGGAATGGCCACCTTACCTACTGGCATTGATGTAATAACAGAAAAAAATCTAACAACTTATTGAATTTCATATTGTACCTAACTCATTTTTTACCGCGCGCTACATGTTGTATAGCTCCATTTTTACCTGTCAGGTGCTCATAATTATATACCTGCATCTGTTGTCGTTCTTGGTTCACACATATATATAATGAGATATAAATAATACAGTCCTATCGATCTATGCGTTCCCATTAGCCTGATCCCCTGTCGTTCCTCAGTCCCTATTCAGTGTTGTTTCTGGTTCGCGTTTTTTCCTTGTCATTTCCTTTGTTTCCTAAATTTCGTGGCGCAGTTACCTTGTTTACGCTTCATTTGTTTAGTTATATTTAGTATATACCATTATATGTACTTACCTGTTTACCTTAATTTGTTACCTTAACTTTGTTACCTACTCTGCAAGCAGCGTTCGCCTCATTCTCCTTATCTGGTCTGTGATTCATGTTCGTATTTACTCGCTCATTATTCACCTAAATCTTTCCTTTCTGTCGTTTCGCTCGTTCCGCCCTGCTCCTCAATTCATGTTGCATCACCACTTGTCATTCCCGTTCATGACTTCTGTGCGCTCTCGTTCCTGTCGATCTGTCATTCCGGGTCTAAATTTCTCATCCTCGTTGAGTATTTGATACATGTCCCTATTACGTCCCATGCCCCCCGTTACTCGGCGTGCACCTATACGTTAGACATACGTTCACCTATAAACCCATTGCTTTTATCTGAGACTTATGTCTGTCAACTTTTCTAATAAGTGGCTATGGTGAACAATAGCCGCATAAAGGTGAGAGAAAAGCCAAAACTCAAGTATAGGCAGCTGCAGGCGGCACTATGAGAGACATCCTCACGGGCCAATCAATGGTTGACAGCAGCTTAGGGGAAGAGCAGAGTGGCCATCAGCTTCATTATAGGGATAAGCTTGTTGATGCACATGTTTACAGGTGTTCTTTTTCTTGTTTGATATTCGTCCATATCAGGAGCGTATAATTGAACAAATATATATTTAGTCATATATCGTCAAGCATATGAAACATAATCATTATGACATAAAATCATATGTGCAAGCATATTTGTCATTATACGCTCCTGGTCATATATAATATAATATATATATATTTTTTTTGGGATGATTTTCGCGTACAAGTATTTTCGCGAAATTCAGACTTGACCGAGGAATTTCGAGGAGAGTGCTAATTTCGGCGTCGGTGCAATTATGTATGGACTTCTGTATTATTCGTAGAATGATTCGCGTGTTGTTATTTCGCGTCGGGACGTGAATCCGGAAAATTAAAAACGCGAATATACAGCATAAAAGAACACGTCTGCTCTCCTGCGGGCCACCAACCGGATATTCACGTGATCGCCTAAGCAGACGCCACACAAGAAAAAAATGCGCTGGCGGCGCACGGCAAACATAAACAGCCACTCGTGCAAACATCCAAAGTTTAGATAAACAGCATCTTAAGTAAAGAGAATTAAAGGCCGTAGTTTACTTGCTCAGGGGGTGTGATACGTGCGATGTCATACTCGCTGCTGTTGCACGAACCTGCGCATGTAAACACTCGGCAGCAGGTAACCTCCTCGCCATTCTGTCTACAGCCAGATTATTAACAATAAGCGCGCGGCGCAGCCAACACAATAAAAAATAAAAATCAAGCGACGAGCTCTCTAACCGTAAACGCATATTTGGCAAAAGCAATTAATTATTACCCAGAACACGTATTATTTACCTGCCACATCCCATCACGCTGTAAATTAAGTAATTTAGCTGTAATTGCTATATGTGCAAGTTACGTAAATACACGCTGTGAAATACGTAACACACCCCTGGAATACGAATACACCTGTGAATACG